AACCTGTTTCTTTAGCTCTGAATAACATCCACTTAGATTAACCTATTTCTCTAACTGTGAATAACATCCACTTAGATTAACCTATTTCTCTAACTGTGAATAACATACACTTAGGTTTATAGCAGAAATACATAAACCACTTAACCATTACCTTCTGAAATCGTCTTATTTAAAGACTTCATCAACGTTTACCTGATTTGAACTCTGTGTTGTACGTCCAATCTAAAACACGAAAACTGAAATAGTTACTGAAATATGAAATAGTCAAAATATAAAAAAAAAGAGTTAAGAAGAAATAAGTTTATTATTTGATAGATTTAATAGAACATAGAGTAGTAAGTGATAGATTTAATAGAACATAGAACAGTAAGTGATAGATTTAATAGAACATAGAACAGTAAGTAAATTACGAAGCGATTATATCTTAATTTATCCTAATTTATTTGTATCTTGAACTTGTATAAGTAATGTCTATGGACATAAAACGTTTCTTTATGTATATATATGTGTGTGTGTGTGTAGGAAGAAGTTATATAACGATCAAGCATTAAAATTGTACATATATACACACACACACACACACACGATCGCCTATAACTTTTCAAGTAAGTTAACTCGTCAGTAGCTCTGAGGCTTATAACGTTATATAAAACTTTTACTATGAGTACTCTTACTTTAATGACGTCACCTAGGTTGTGAATGACGTCACCTAGGTTGTGATTACGCCTTTTCTCTAAACTGATTCCTTGTTAGCACATATCACAATATATGAGTTTATCTGTATTAAGTATCTATTAATCAAAATACTTTTTGTTAAAATCTCTTGGTGGAAGGTTGTTCTTTTTTATCTCAGAATTTTGAGCTCTTGTTACTTGATTTTTTTTATATTTTTAATATTAGTTTTTATCCCCTCCCCCCCCCGTTCAACTTGATTTTGATATATTATTTTCCTGGTGATTTTTTTATGTGACAAAATTCACTATGAAACTGACTGAACATTATGTTCTTTTGACGCATTTTTTGACATCAGTGGGAAGAAAATTAACCAACGATTTACTTGGCAAAGCAAACATGATAGGTTATGTCATAGGTCATAGGTTATGTTATACAAATATCACACGTTATAATAATTTGACAATTGTAGGAACTTTTGTTATTTGAAGTAACTCAAAATATATTTATCACTTTTTTTTTTGAAGGGGGAAAGTCGTTCAAATGAATTGCAGCGAATAAAAAACAGTATTAAAACTAGACTAAGCCTCGAATAAACCCCCCAGTGGCACAGCGGTATGTCTGCGGACTTACAACGCTAGAAACCGGGTTTCGATACCCGTGGTGGGCAGAGCACAGATAGCCCTTGTGTAGCTTTGTGCATAATTAAAAACAAACAAACAAACAAACAAGCCACGAATAAATGAATACTTTAAAATGTTGATTGTTTATATAACTCCCACTGGATCTCAATTTTATTTTTGAATGCGTTTTCACTTACAAATGCAACTTAAATATAAAAGAAAGTAAATTTACTATTAACTATTCTTTAAACTGAGAACGGTTTGTTACTTTCCAGAAAATGGGATTTCAACTCCTAATCACGACCAAGAGTTTAATACTTTGCGTCGGAAATAAGGACAGAAAGTTATTTTAAATCTAAGTTTGATGGGATTGCTTCCTTTATGTGGCTCAGGGGCTAGCCTCACTGCTTGCGAAGCTAAAATTCAGGTTCTGATACCCGCGGTAAACAAGGCACAGATAGTCCATTGTATAGGTTTGTGCTTAATAACAAACAAAGAAACAAAAAAAATCATTATTTTAAACATAGTATGCGAGAAAAGAGGAAATTTGTGATATAAAATGATTAATACTTTTACAGAACGAAACTATGCCAGATATATATATATATATATAAACATGGATTGTTTAAAGTTACAACATTTACTGTTATCTACAAGGATTTGGAGATTGATTTAATATCATTACCAGCACGACCACAACATCCGATATGGCCGAGTATGCTTATATCACTGTGAAAACAGAAAGTTTTCTGTTATCATTACCAGCACGACCACAATATCCGATATGGCCGGGTATGCTTATATCACTGTGAAAACAGACTGTTATCATTACCAGCACGACTACAACATCCGATATGGCCGAGTATGCTTATATCACTGTGAAAACAGAAAGTTTTCTGTTATCATTACCAGGAAATATCACAGAAACATCTCTACGTATTGGATGGAGAATATAACTTGGAAATGGCCCACCACGGGTATCGAAACCCGGATTCTAGTGTTGTAAGTCCGCAGACATAAACGAGCAGCCCTTCCCCCCAGTGGCACAGCGGAAGTAAGTCTCTTAATCATGTGTTTATATGTCATCATATTGAGCAGCTCTTCCCCCCAGTGGCACAGCGGATGATGACATATAAACACATGATTAAGAGACTTACTCTATGTTGCGAATTATTTAGCGAACATTCGTAAGTCTTCTATATATATAATGTTTACAGATGTAAATGTTTCATTTTTTTCCTTGCCAGATTTCGTTAATTACTACAATACATTTACAGTATGAATGTTTGTTCTTTACGCTATTTCATCAACTGTACCATAAAATACTAAAGCCTCTTGCTATCAGTTGGTTTTTGTATCAGCAAGTCTGTGGTAAAATCCGCCGGTGAGACAGCGGTAAGTTCACTGACTCATAGCCCTAAAATCCGTGGTTAGATTCCCTGCTGTGGTCCCAACAGATAGTCAAATGTATCTTTGTTCTAATACAAACAACTCTATATTGTAGTGTCGGGCTTTCGAATTCCAAGCTGTGATAAAAACAAAATTATTGCTCGTAAAATTTCTATAATTCGTTTATACTAACATTACTGACTTTCTCAGAAGAAGGGATTTTTATTTTACCAGACTTACTTACGAAGATTATTCAAAATTAGTGGTGCTTCAATGAAAATAAATAATGGCTACAGGACCGTCATTAGCAAGTTATTGGTGAATCGGTGGTGTGGGAAGGAGTTTCAAAGTGGGGGTAATTGGCTAGACATGCAGATTTTACAACGATAGATTGAAAGTATGAGAAGTTGTTAAAAGCATATAAGTCAAATATATAAAAATGGGGGTACTTGGCTAGATATGCAGATTTTACAATGAAAGATTGAAAGTATGAGAAGCTGTTAAAAGCATCTCAATCTAGGGAGATTTGGGGGCATACCCCCTCCTCCAAGATAGCAACTGCTAATTATATTAATTTTATAAGTCAAATATATAAAAATGGGGGTACTTGGCTAGACACGCAGATTTTACAATGAGAGATTGAAAGTATGAGAAGCTGTTAAAAGCAGCTCGATCTAGGGAGATTTGGGGGCATCACCCCTTCCTCCAAGAAAATTAATATAATTAGCAGTTGCTATGTAAATCAAATATGTAAATATATGGATGCTTCTTCCGCTGAAGAATAAAGATAGATGGTTAGTAACTATGTGTGTGTGTGTGTATATATGTGTTTCTAAACCTGTGAAGTTTCAAACAGTCTATATGAGGCTGTTGTGTTTAGTCAACATTTCAAATCATTCGAAGTTATTAATGTTTTATCTCATTTCTGTATGTAAAGTTTGATGTCAGTAAAAATATATTGTTATAGTGTTCCTCTTAGTGTGTATTGTTTGTCTTTGTTTGTGAATAATACGCAGGCAGATTATTGATATTCTCATCTTAGGAACTGCGTGTTCTTAAACCCAATCACACCAGCCTTTCATCAGTTACCCTTTATTTGCGTGAAGCCTATTAATTTTCAGTGAAACGTAATATATTCACACAGTACGGAGTAACGGTAAACACATGACCACGTATTTTGTGTTTCAGCCAACGACGCCCAAGGTAATGTTCTTTACTGAGGCAAGTCTAGAAACCTTCAATTAGTTAATCATCCATTTACGATCTACCTATCTAAACTAGAAATACATTTGATAGAGTGATAATAAACAAAACCCTATATCGAAAATATTACATTTTAATCCAATCACTACGGCTGGTACATATATGAACCCGCGCGAGGCGTTGGATCGTACATTTTTATGGAAATATTGTCCATTGATTTTCTATTATATGTTGCCACACAGTAAATTAAGTATTTCCGCCTTCTGTGCGTCAGTTTTTCCTCAAGACCCCAGAAAGGCCTGTACGACAACATATTGCTGCCCGGGGCAACAAGCACCGCCAAAGCTGAGGAAAATCCGGATTATTTTATGGATTTACTAGATACTATTATTGTCTTTGATGGGTTGACGCAGTGAAGTTTAGAGTCCATATTAGAGAAAGTTCGTTCATGATACAGGGTGCCTCAAAAATGTTATACTATATAAATATTCATTTTATTCTTTTCTTACGCT